CCTCAGCCTTCCAAGTAGCTGGAACTACAGGCGCATGTTACCACGCCCGGCTAATTTTTTGATTTATTGTAGAGATGAGGTCTTGCCAAATTTCCCAGGCGGGTCTCAAACCCGCAGGCTCAGGCAATTTACTCACCTCAGCCTCCCAAAGGCACGGGATTACAGACTGAGCCACCGAGCCCAGCTTCACTTAATTTTTGAACCTTAAATAATCCAACTTTTCCAAAATAATATTTTCCCCCTTTCTGATGACTTTACTGGTCTTGCTAATTAATGGCAATGAAACATTAAGATACAGACAATTTAAAAACTAAATTTGTTCCAGGCTGAGCGTGGTGGTTCATGCCTCTAATCCCAGCACTTTGGGTAGCAGCAGAGAGGACTGCCTGAGCACAGGGGTTCAAGACCAGCCTGGGCAACTTGTACAGACCTTCCTCATCTCTACAATAAATTTTTTAAAATAGCACGGTTGGAAGGATCACCTGAGTCCAGAAGGTGGAGGCTGTGGTGACCGCATACCACTGCACTCCAGCCTGAATAACAGTAAGACTCCAAGTCAAAAAAAATAAATTAAATAAAGGTCAATTTAAGTGCCACCTTCCTGTGAAGCTCTTTCACTAATTCTAGAATATATGAATCTCTCAATAAACAGTTAAACATTTGAGCATCCATTATGCACCAAGTGCTGGGGATACTAAGGCATAATTCTGTATGCAGTAATCTCAAAGTAGGAGAAATCTTAATGCAACAGACTATTCTAAGCCATATAATAAGGATTTATGATGAGAGCTATAATAGCACCTAAACAAAAACAAGAAATTAATTCTGCTTCAGGTTATCAGAAATGGCTTAACGAGTGAAAACAGAAACAGACCAAGAAGAGCTAGAGTTCTCCAGGAGGGGAGCAAGAGGTTATGTGGATCCTATGTGTATTCCTACTAAATATTTACCACCCCCTTACCACACCCCAGTGATGGGCACAGGCTGTGCACAGATGTTAAACTGAACGTTCCAATATTTTCTTTATAGCATCATTTTATTCACAGTGATAGAATAATCCCAAATAAAATAAAATTGTGGCCAAAGACCACAATCAGTCAAGACTTGTAGCTGGGTTTCTAAAAACGCAGGAAAACTAACCAGAACCTTGATTTTCCTGTCCAAGAGCATCTTATATTGAAGACACCAATAAAAAAGTATCAAAACTACACAATGCCTGCAAATAAATAACGTACCCCTGAATGAACACGAATAGCAACGTCCTTATATTTTCTAAGTACACTGCAAAAGGTATGTTTGAGATAGCCTCAAGACAAAAGAATAAAAACAGTTCTGGGTTTAAAAAAAAAAAGCACTTAAGTCCTAAATATCTAAAAGAATACTAATACTAAGGTCACCGCAGTCACTCACAGCCACCCACATTCCCTCCCTACTGCTCCCTTCACACCCTTCCCGCCAGCGCAGACCACTCAAAGCTCCCGACTCACTGCCTCGTTCACGATGGTCTCTGGGGTCGGAAGCTCCCCTCATCTAAACGGACTGATACCTTCAGACCAGGGACGGGTAACCTCGTCAGTGAAATAACCCGAGGCGTCAACCCATCTCTCCGTGACCCGAGCCCCAAGAACGAACCTTTGCATTTCTATCTCAGAGTCCGTTTGGCCCCGTGAGAGGACGAGGCATCCGTGTCTGCTTCCCCCGACAGACTGTGGACTTTCTGACGGCTCGGCCTGACCCCCAGCCACAGCCGGGAAAGGGCGTGTGAAGCCAAAGTGACGTTCTCCAAGAGGCCGCGGGCCGAGTGGACATTTTTCAAATTACGGATCAGAAATCAAGGACCGCAGCTCCGACCCCCAAGGCCTCTCCCTCCTTCCTGGCACGAATCCCACTTCCTCCGGACCCCCTCCCCCCATGAACTCCGGCCTATCCCCCGCGCTCTCCTCATTCCGTAGAACCCGATGCCGTGAACCGACCGACAGCTCGGGAGCTTGGCCGACGAGAGCGACGCGGCCTTCCTCCTCCACTCGCTCCTCCCACAACTCCTCTCCAAAGGAAAACACCGACGTGCCGCCCAGAGCAACTGGGGGGGGTGGTCTACAGACTTCACCCCAAATCACCGAGAGCGAGCACGTCCCGCGGAGTCGGGACGGGCTCCGAGAGTCGGGTTCCTGGATGCAGGCGGCGGCGAGAATTGGGGCTCCGCGGCCTCCCCGGCGCAAACGACCGGCCGACCGCGCCCAGCGGGCGAGGCTCTCTCCCCCACGCCCCGAAGCTACGCCCAGGGCCCTATGCAGCGAGCGGCATAAGCCAGGCCCGGACCGGAGACGGGAGCGACCGCGAAGCTGCGACCCAGCTTGAACAAAGCGCCGCGGGGCGGAGGAGCCGCCATTACGTGGGCCACGGCCCGCCGAGGGGACCACCCGACCGAGGCGCAGGCCTGGACTCTCGGGAGGCCCCGCGGGGGAAGGCGGAGGCCCAGGGACAAGGGGGCGCCGCGGGCGGGCGGCGGGCAGACGCGCAGCAGGGAGAGCCCGCTTACCTTCGTGGGTCTTGGCGATCTTCGCCATTTTGTCCACTGGAACACAGACGGAACTGGCGCTCCCAGGAACTTCCGCTCGCCACCGCCGCCACGGAGGAAAACAGCGACATGTGCTCTGCGCATGCGCCACGCGGAAGCGCGCACCGGCAGCGGCACGTGACAGAGCCGCCACCTAGATGGAACGCAAGATGCATTGTGGGTGTAAGAGGAGCCGAGTGGGGCGTTGTCGAGGAGGACCCGAGAGAGCACCGCGTGGGCCGTAATGTCTCTAAGAGAGGAACACTACGCTGGAGTAAAAAGTGGGTTCCGCTAGCGCAGCTAAGAGCAGACACCGAGTTTCAGCGATTCGGGAGGCCCAGGCGAGGATGGCTTGGTCAAGAGTTAGCGTGCCCCATCTCCACAAAAAAAATTTAAAAAATAAAATAAAATTAGCTGGATGAGGTGGGCCACACTTTTAATCCCAGCACTTTGGAAGGGCGAGGTGGGAGGATTGGTCCTGGCCAGGAGTTGAAGATCAACCTAGGAAACTGAAAGGGTAAACTGTGGCAAAGTGGGCCAGTACTGCGGGAGTAATGCGAAGAATTGCAAAGGAGAAAGAAGCAAAGTTTATTATCCACTTTCCTCAGACGGAAAGGAACCAGCACTCATAGGCGAGCTTGGCCTCGAAGACCGAGAAGCTGGGTATATTTAAGACTATCTTTTGAGGCTAAGAAGAAAGTGCAGAGGTTACATTCTTTGATGTAGATAACAGAAGTCACATAAGTCTTGTTTCTAGACATCCCCAGGCATCAATATCTCTTGACTCCAGGTGGTGGGCTGGAGGCTGGTTACAGAAGACTGATACAATACATCACATCATTGGGTGGCATAGATTCCTAGAAGAGCAATTAGGACTAGACATGCTTAAATAATTACGAAGTCCCAACCCTGAGGGGACCGGTTTTATTTCTTGCTAATGATTAAGAGGTAAAAGAATAGGTTGGTCAGCAGAAAGCCTCAGCAATACGTGACATGGCTAAGGCTGAGACAAAACGGCTGCACTACTGCTAGGATTATTTTACCAGGTTCTTTTATTCTAAGTTTCTTGGGGTACCTACCTTTCAGCAACATAGTGGGACCTGGGCTCTACTTTTTGTAAAGCTGATCAAAAAATTAGCCAGGTGTAGTGGCACATGCTTGTAATCCTAGCCATTCAGGATGCTGAGGAGGGAGAATTATGTGAGCCCAGGAAGTCGAGGCTGTGGTGACTGTGATCATGTCACAGCACTCTGGCTGGGCAACAGAGTGAGGCCCTGTCTCTAAACTTAAAAAAAAAAAAACAGCTGGAAGAGATCTGAGACATTCAATCCCCTGTCTTCAAATCCACCGGGAAGTCCTGGAGCTGGAGGAAAACTTTCTTAGTGTCCACCAGTGCAGTGCTTCTTTGTGGAGATAATCCTAGCAGCTCACGCTTCGCCCTGTAATTCAAGGCCATTTTTCTTTCTATCTAATTATTGCTTATCATTTGGGTAGGAGTTTCATCTGCAACATAGGTTCCCAAACACTGTTGAACCTAATGAATAGTCCAGTAAGGCAGGCAAGTTGTCAATCTTATTAAGAAATGGGAGGGAGGCATAAACTGTGCAAGGTCACAGTTACTAAGTGGCACAGTGAGAATCTTGTTACCCTTTTAAAGCCATTTAACTTTGTCTTAGAGAACCATTGGTTGTCATTATTAATTGAGGAAATGTCTTTTGTAAAGCCTACAAAGCATTCCTAAATCAGGAATTTTAATAGTTCAGAACAGGAATTTTAATAGATCAGTATAGGATAGTCTTTGTCTTCCTAAGCATCAGTTATACTATCATAGCTTTGTACTGTCACACTGGTCTTGGACTTCTAGAATGAAAAAGAACAGAAGAACTCAGTTGGGTCCAGGAAGCAGCCTAGGAAAACGGGTAGTAATCAAGGTTAGAGTCAGCACAAAGAAACAAGTTTACATCACTGTGTGACAAACTCATAACCCCAAATAGTTTGTAGAAACTTTAATAACAAAAAATGGGATTTTTATCAGCATCAATAAAAAAATCAAGCTAATAAGTTAAAAGTTTCAATTGTTTAATTTCTTTGATCATTAGGTTAAACAGTCATTAGGGGATAGGGTGAGGGAGATGAGGTAAGAGAAAAACAGCAGATTATTATATAAATTATTGATAAATTCTAGTTGAGATTTGGCAGAAGTCCATAGATATTTATTGTGTGTTATCTGCTACACCTAGGTTATACATATGTTATTTTATATATACAAAACAACATTTTTTTTTAGATAGGGTCTCACTCTGTTACCTAGTCTAGAGTGAGTGGCACAATCACAGCTCACCACGCCTCAACCTCCTGGGCTCAAGTGATCCTACCTCCTCAGCCTCCTAAGTAGCTGGTACTGAAATATCTGAAAAATCAATAATTATTTATAATAGCTTGCTTAATATAAGACTAGTTTGCTTAATGCTTGATATAAGTAATAATAATCTGTGTTAACTCACTTGACATAAGTAACTCCATCTTGTTAAAGTCTTCCATCTTAACTGCCCGCTTGACCTAGAAATAAACCCCCATTGTGTACGTGTAATTGCTGTAACGTTCCCATGACCACAGACCCACAGCTGCATTCCCTTGAGCTGATTACATTGACCATTCTTGTTGACCATTTGCAAGACGCTCTAGCCACAAGTTCCATGTAACTGTATGCCTTGTTAACTGAAATCCAAGAGATTGCTCCTTTTGTTTTTAGTTCCTTGTACCCTCACCCCCTGCTATGTAGTCCACTGGCGGTTTTTGCCTTTATAAGCTTCCTGCTAGTTTAATTCGGGCATCAAGAGCTTTCTTGGCATGAGCCTACTCTTGACTTGCACATTAATAAAGGACTCATAATTAATTAGACTTGGCTTGCTGGCATGTCTCTTTCTCACAATTCAGTAATAACATTTGGAGGCCCCAGTGAGAAATCTGCCAGCACAAACAGCTGCCTCGCTCTGGTCCCCCCTAACTGGGTGGAGAGCTTGTAGGGAGGGCACCTCCAGAGTCACCTCAGACCCCGAAACCTCTCATCTGGTCAGAGGGAGTTGAAGCGACTGCTGGCAGCTTATAGCCTCAAAAGAACCTGAGTCTGTCTACAGTCTCCTGGGAGGTAAGAATTTACTTTCATTTTCTGTCTGTTTTGCTTGTGGCCATAATTCTGTTTAAGGGAGTCATGGCCTGACAAGGCTACCCTTAGGATACCATTCATTTGGCCAAGATATTGGCTGAATAGAGTCCTCTGGTTTTCTGCCCTGAGGCTGTGCCAGGAATCCATAATTTTTCTCACTTGGTCCAGACATGTCTTGTTTGTCATTGTGTTTTGTTTGTCATTTAATACGGGGTCACAGGCTTCTTGACCCTCCAGTCCCCCAGACTGTATAATAAAGAATTTTCTCCTTTAAACAACAGAGGGGGGAAGAAAAAAAAACAAGTTTCAGGGACCACACTTACCTCAACCCCTTTTGAATTGCCTGCAGGCCAGGTAAATTAATTTCATTGACAGAGTTTTGTAATCAGCTACAAAGCTTTTCACTGCCAAGTTGCTACCGGACTTCAAAATCTCCTTCTAGGCACAAGGATTGTTAATCCAACACAGGATAAATACCAAAATAATCTGAGTTTATCAACCATTGTAAAATATAACTTGCCAACATTTACCTGTTTTAATTCTCAATTTGGGCTGCAACCTAATTACATATCTCTAATGTTTTCAATTTTTCTTCAGACTTTGTCAAGATGACTGTGTTTTCTTGTTAAAGTATAGCTGTAAATAATTTGCAGGGAAATGTTTCAACTTATGTTGATAAATTAAAAATTTTGACTCATCATGCATGTGGTTTGTGGAACTACTTTGACTTTCCAGTATTATTTCTGAGGCAATAGCTTTTTTTCATCATTACTTGCTTAATAATTTTGTCTATGCTTTCACTTGGTATTTTATTAAATCCAAATAACATTTAGTTAAAGTCCCACTGTTTCCTATTTGTGCCCTTGAAAATAAATTTAAAAAAAAAACAACTCTACAGCCCACTCAGCAAGAAGTAGTTATGGAAGACTGATCTTCACCCCATTTCCCAGCATCATAAGAATATTTCCAAGAGCAGGAATAAGAAAATAAAAGAACAAACCAAGGGCCAAAAGCCATTTTTTATCTTGTTCTTAAACCCTGCATGCATGCATGACCAGTATTACCACCTCCCCTCCATTGTCTCCACCTTTGGCAACTCACCTCTGCTCTTGGATTGATCTAGTCCCTCTCCTTCCCCTCTGGGAGGTTCCTCCTCCATAGGGGGCAGATCGAACCAAGCGAACTGTTTCTGATATCTAATAAAATCAGTTATGTGCACACATTGCCCCACTTGGGACTATTGTCAGTAGCTCCTTATAAGTTTGTCTACTTCTGAGGAACAAGAGCACATTAGAGCTGAGGCTAGGAAATCTATTCTAGCCTCAGCTGCAGGTACACAGAAAAAAAAGTTTTAAAAAATGTTAGATGAGGTTTTTCCCTCCTCTCGCCAGACTGGGACCCTAACACTTCGGCAGGGTCCAGGGCATTAGAAATTTATCACTAGACTCTATTAACTGGGCTAAGGGGAGCAGTCCTAAAACCTATCAATTTTTCTAAAACTACCGAGATCCTCCAGGGTCCCAAGAAATCTCCAGGGGCATTCCTTGAACACCTCCAGGAGGCTTTTTGTACTTATACCATGTGCAATCCCTGAGAATGCTCAAGCTATTAATTTGTGGCACAGGAAGCTCTGGACATCCAGAAAAAAAATTAAATTACAGAAGCTTGACGGCTTTGCAGGAATGGATACCTCTCAGCTGCTGGAAGTGGCCCAAAAGGTTTTTAACCATTGGAATGCTAAGAAACGAAAACAGGCAGCACAGGCAGTCAATAAAGTTGCCAGGAAACAAACTAAAATTCTGGTAATGGCCCTCTGAGCCCCGGGAACCTATTTTAGGGGCAACGGGGGCAATTACTGGTTGCAAATTCACTTCTAACTGAACTATAAACTTAGAACCAAAACTGGTTACCCACT